TCGGTGAATGGATTTTCCTCATTATTTTTTTTCTTTTTTGCCTCAAATTTGTTTATTTTTTTTATGTCAGTCGGTTATTTAATATTTATTATTTTGAAATTTCTTTTTGGTCTCTTTTTTACTATTAAAATTTACTTATAGATTTTAACTTCAAATCATATAAAGCTAATAGTATATGGCCACTCAAACCCATCATGCAGTACCTTAGGAGTGATGTGAATCTTCGTACTTATCTTTCTCAAGTACACCCCTTGGAAAAACTAATTTAGATTATGATAACAGTTAAAATTAGGAAAATCAGACGAAAGCCATCACAAATCCCAAACATAAGAAATTTTTCTTATTACTATATCTTTATTACAATTTTACATTAAAAAATTACTATTAAATGATGGAGTGATGTGGGTGCAACACGTGGACTTGATTATCTAAATTTTCGCCATGTGGATTAGCCTATCTAAATTTGTGCCATGTTTACAATTGAAAACTCTCCTTTAATATATACTAGTTTTTAGCCCGTATGTTGTGCTGGTTGTTCAAAAATAACTTTAATGATATAAATTATAATTGTATAATTTTGAATATCAGTATGTTTTGTTATTTTAAATATATTTGGAATAATTTTCAATACTTGAAATTGTCCAATATAACTTATTGTCCATCTTTTTCTTTTTGTTAATTTACGGTTTCATATCTTTTAAAAGTATTCTCTTAATTTTTTATGATCTCTTTAAATATTTTTACCTATATCATATCTTTTAAACTCTTCCTATAACGGAAATTTTTGCCATTATTTATTTACATAAACTTATCGTTATTTTTCATCTTCCTATATACCTTTTGCAACATTTTTTTAGAAGTTTGTTTGTATATTTTTTCCTATAATATAGTGTTCATTTTTTTTCTTGGTTGCATAGTATTCGACTTTTTTTTTTTTTGATGACTTCTCTTGAACGTTTCATTTCTTGAAAAATTTGTTATGATTATTTCATTTTTCACCATTTTCTTGGTTCCTATTTTCATATTATTTTAATTCTCTACATAATTTTTTATCGATAGAATTATTTTTAATATCTTAATATAATTTTCTTCTACTATTTGTCTCCACGAAGTTCTTTATTCTTTTTTATTATATCAATATATTTTTATTTCCCTATTTATCTCTATGTTTTGTTTAATCGCCATAACTTTAACTTTTTCTACCATTATACCATATAGAAAAAATAATTATGAATATATTATATTATTATATTAATTTATCAGTAAATATTTATTATATTATTTTATACTATATTGTATTATATATAATATAATACATATTAAAATATTGAAAGTTTGTCGATTATTATATAATTTATAGTATTAATATTAAACAATAATAATCGGTTATTAGTATTGCCCGTTAAGGGACAAAAAATACATTGCCATTAAAAAAATATTTACAATCAAAGCACCACCAACTGAAATAAAAAATTATACACTAAACAGTAGAAAATAAAAATATCCGATTGATGGTTACACTTTAACACATAACTAAATTTGTTTTTCTCTCATGGCCGTCGGAATTTTATTTGATTTTTCTACATCGGATTTTTCTTTTTTTTTTTTAAATTTTTTATTTCAGATGGTTATCTTTGGATTTATTATTATTATTATTATTTTACTTTTTTTTTAATTTTCTAACCTTTAGACAATATAATCATTGGTAATCATTTATTAGTATTACCCATTAAGGGGTAAAAAATTATATTTCCTTTTAAAAAAATGACAATCGAAACACCACCAACTGAAATAAGAACTAATACACTAACAAATAAAATTTTAAACAATCCAATTAATGGTTATACTTTTAGCACATAACTATAAAAATCAAGTTTATATGTGAATTGGTTTTTCTCATAATGGAAGTCGATTTTTTTTTTTAACCGTGAACTTGGTTTCCTTTTGGTTTATTTTTTTTATTTTTTTATTTTAGTTGGTCATCTTTGGATTTATTAGTTAGAAGTTTCCTTTTGATCATTATATTTTAACACATACAATTTCATATGGTTTCTTTGTTTTATTATTCTATCTTTGGATTTATTAGATTGACTTGGTAATTGATTAATTACATAAGACCAATTTATTTTGGACTTTAATTTGGACTGACGGGAGTATGTTGGAGAGAAAGCAAAATTTGACTTGTAGTTAATTAATTAAATTGAGCCCAAGGAATTAAAGAAGTGTTGCCATATCATAAAAATTTACCGTTAAGAGGTAATTTATAATTTTAACATTAAAAACTTATCATTAAATGATGGAGTAATGTGGTTGCGACATGTAGACTTGAGTATCTAATTTTACGCCTATATATATATATGTATTCCTTTTCGTATCTTTGACAAATCGAATTAATTCAAAGACGAACTTGTTCGATATAATAAATTTCTGATTATTATATTTATTTCACTGCCGATCGATATCATTTTTCAGAAATTAGATATTAGCTAGGAGTTCCAATCTTTTCCAAAACTGTATACAAGTGTGGCGCTGAATGAAAAGGAACTAATTAAGGAAGTTGAAGTAAAGCCACAAAACGTAGTACGTACTCTATTGTCCCATTCGGTTGCTATCTTTCCAGAAATCAAACGTTAATAAGTTCTTCTTCCTTTCCAATAGTCCACGGCTGCTGGAAACAATTCCAACAAGTTCTTCCCCTCTGATTCTTCTAATTTGGCTGACAAGTGGCAAATCTACCAAACGGGTTAATTAGGCTTTTACTTTGAATATTGTTGTCGTGTGAGTTGAATTAATATAGAGCAAAGGTTGTGACAATTGGTTTAATCCCAATTTTATGTGCTCAATTACGAGATGATTGACCTCCTTTCCATTGTTTTAAAATACAGTTTCAAAATAATTGTTCTATTTATATTGTATTAAATGATATAATGAAGCTGGCAATTATTTAGAAACAAAGGAAGTATCAATTTTAGTTTAATCACTCATTTTTCCCCTTCTTATTGCTGGGTAGGTTGATTTTTTGTTCATATATATATATATATATATATATATATATTTCCCTTAAGGCATAGCCCTTTACAAATGTACGATTTTTTTTCTCTTTTAAAATTGGACTATATATCTCAATATGGAAGTGGTTCGTGACATGATCTAATTAGTAAACAATGTAACGTAGTTGTTGACACTTAGTATTTTCTGTATAGTTGACAATTCTTTTGTATAAGTACAGCACTATATTACGGGGGCTTGTTTTGTAAATAGACGTTACTGGAGTCGGTTTAGCATATTATAAAATACTTAATCTCTGTATACATTCAGTTAACCGAAATCATAATGAAATAACCAACTGGTTTTTCCCCCAAATTGCTCGAACCCTAACTGTTTCCAATTACATAATTTATGCCAATCTTATTTTCTTTGACCAGCTACTAAGGTATGATTCAAACCGCATTACGATTGTCGTGTTAGTGTTTATTACATGAAATAATAATCTTTTTTATTTCGTGAAACAATAATCTTTCTTTGTATTTTACATTTTCTTCTTTCTTTTTTTTTTTTCTCTTTTTAATTTACTGTAACAGGGAATCCGAATTCCGTAGGAATTTTGCTTGGATGCTACGTCAACCTTAATTATTTAATCTCTGCAAAATTCAACGTTTTCCTTCCAAAATCCTTTCGACTTATTCCAAATTCAACCCCCGCTCCCCCCCTCCCCCCCCTTTTTTTTGAAGAATATGATTTAGGTTAATTTGATAATGATGCAGGAAGATTCCTGCATATATTATGCTTTGTTACTGTTTGACTTACTTGCAGGAACAACTTGGATGTGATGATTTCAAATTTCTTGTATATCACTTACTTATATTATGCTTTGTTGCTGTTGACTCACTTGCAGGAACAACTTGGATGTGGTAATTTCAAATTTCCTGTTTATCACTTACTGTTCGGATTCTTAATATGCCCACCAAACATGGCAGTCCATGAGCAGTGATCCAAAAAGATGTGAATCACGTTGACGGAAAAAATGATAGTTGTCCTCCATCGCGTTACTGTAGTTTTTGTCTATGCCAAGTATATTACTATGTAATTTCCGATAAGATTTACTTTAGAAAATATTAGTTTTAACTGATATTTAAAATACTATCATAGGATGATGATTTCTCAATTGTACAGTCTTAAGCCCTGCCCTGAAAATATTTCGCTTTTTAAGGAATGACCCAGGTACATCCTGGTTTTGTTTTTAAAAAAAATGATGCAGGAAGATTCAAGAAATAACTTTAGTTTTAAAATTAGTTTAAGCAAGTTCCTTTTAATTAAGTGTTTTATTTAATGTCAGTCTTTTAGGAAATTAGTAAGCCTAAGCCTATTAGGATTGGGATTAAACAAAATCTGTCTCTATAAATAGAAGTGTTCCCTAGCTTATTGTTCACACTATTTTATCGTAATTTTCAAAGACTCTTGTCTTTCTTTAATCCTGGTTTGCCTATCTTCTTAGTTTTCAATTCAATTAGTTTATTCCCATCATCATATAAGAAACCGAATCTTGAGTTTTGTAGAATATTGAACCAAAAATAAAATAGGATTTTATGTTTCTTATTTAAGAGTTGTAGTATTATAATATTTTTATTATGGGTTGGGCTTGGATAAATAAATCTCTATAAATAGAGAGTTGTAGCTAGGGCTTTGGGAGAAAAAATTTCGTAGAGTATTGTTGCTGAGGACTTTTGAAGATTGGAGTTATTTTATTGATTAATTAAATAAGTATTTGTTTGAAGCTTGCTCTAGTACGTATGACTGAACTAACCGATTAGTTTGGTTGGTTATTTTTATTATTGATGTTCTTGATTTCTACAAGCCTTTTCTGTTTTTTAGTTCTGGATGTTTAGTTTTTAGTTTTTAGGGGGACTACCTTGAGCTTGATGCAGCTAGTTTTCAGTTTTGTGGTGTTTAGTTTTTTTGCTTAGGGTTTCAACTTTGTTTGCTTTCAGTAGTATTGCGATATGGCGGACAGAGGGGGCAAGGAAAGCCGTAAAAGGCGAGACGAACTGTTGAAGCATGAATCTGAGATCCAACAATGGTGGACTAAGAAAGATGTATTCAAGGCTGATGCAAAGGAATCTGTTCCCTTACCTGGGGAGAAGTTTATCGGGAACTTTCCTTTTCCATACATGAATGGCCACCTTCACTTGGGCCACGCTTTTTCGCTGTCAAAACTCGAGTTTGCAGCGGCTTATCATCGGTTAAAGGGGTGCAAGTGTGCTGCTTCCGTTTGCTTTTCATTGTACAGGAATGCCAATCAAGGCGTCGGCCGATAAGCTTACTCGAGAGATTGACAAGTTTGGGTACCCTCCCTTATTTCCTGTTGTAATAAAAGAGGAAAACAATGATGATCATGAGCCAGATGCAAAACCCGAAGGCGGTGGTAAAAAATTCAAAGGGAAGAAATCAAAGGCTGTGGCTAAAACTGGTAGGAACAAGTTTCAGTGGGAGATAATGCAAAGTTATCATCTTACTGATGAAAAAATCGCAAAGTTTAGAGACCCTAACCATTGGCTGGAATTTTTCCCACCAAAAGCTGTGGAGGATTTGAAGGCTTTTGGGTTAGGTTGTGATTGGAGAAGAACATTTATAACAACTAACAAGAATCCATACTTTGATGCCTTCGTGAGATGGCAAATGAGAAACCGAAATCCATGGACAAAATTGTTAAGGATTTTAGGTTCACCATTTACTCTCCTTTAGACGTGCAGCCCTGCGCGGATCACGACCGCGCATCAGGAGAAGGTGTGATGCCGCAAGAGCACACCCTGATCAAGATGGAGGTGGTTTCGCCTTTCCCGACAAAAATGTCTGTCTTGGAGGGTAAAAAAGTCTACCTTGTAGCTGCTATATTAAGGCCGGAAACTATGTATGGCCAAACAAATGCTTGGGTCCTTCCAGGGGGAAAATATGGTGCTTTCGAAGTCAACGATACGGAAGTTTTCATCTTAACCAGGAGGGCAGCCCTAAATTTGGCTTACCAGAGGTTATCTCGGGTTCTGGAGAAGCCAACTTGTTTAGTTGAGTTGATAGGTAAAGAGCTGGTTGGGTTACCGTTAAGATCTCTATTGGATTTGAATGAGATAATATACACTTTGCCGATGCTTTCAGTTTTCACTGAAAAGGGAACCGGGATTGTGACCAGTGTCCCTAGTGATTCACCTGATGATTATATGGCTCTTCAGGATTTTAGATCAAAACCAGAGTTTGGAGTGTTTTACCATTAGGGATCATACCCATCATTGACCATCCTGAGTTTGGAGATAAGTCTGCTGAGAGAATTTGCATAGAGAAGAAGATCAAGAGCCAAAATGAGAGAGAGAAGCTGGATGAGGCTAAGAAAATAATCTATAAAGAGGGATTTTACAAAGGAACCATGAAAGTTGGGGAGTACGTTGGAATAGAAGTCAAGGAAGTCAAGGGTTTGATCCAGGACAAGCTCCTGAAGAATAATCAAGCTGTTGTGTTTGTGAGCCGGGAAAAAAGGTCATGTCGAGATTCGGCGATGAGTTTGTTGTGGCTTTGACTGAACAATGGTACCTCAAATACGGAGAAGGAGAATGGAGGAAATTGGCAGAAGATTGCTTGCAAAGAATGAATCTCTATTCCGACAAAACTCGCCATAGTTTTGAACATACTATACTCTGAGTTGGCTGGACCGATGAGCTTGTTCTCGTAATTTTGGACTCGGGACTCGCATTCCTTGGGACTCGAATCTTTGTCGGATTCCACCATCTATATGGCATACTATACTGTAAGTCATTTGTTGCATAGGGGAAAAATGTATGGCATACTATACTGTAAGTCATTTGTTGCAGAGGGGAAAAATGTATGGTAATGATAATACTTCCAGTGTAAAGCCTGAGCAGCTGACAGATGAGGTTTGGGATTTCGTATTTTGTGGCAGTATGTTAAAATCACCTTGGGCTCCCATCTCAAAACCAATTGGTTATGAGTGGGTTGATCTTTGGCACTTATAAACAGGTGACAGATCCTTCACAACACCGATGTAGGATTCTTTGTCCCAACACCGTCCATTAAGTCCAATGGGGTATTTAGCCCATTGGAGTTGCACAACACAATATAATTCACCAGAGATACTGCTGGGTCAGTCCACAACTTCAGATATCTGCTGGATCAGTCAACAAGCCCGTACACGGGTCCACATTTTGGATATACTATCGGGTCAGTACACAAGCTCGCACACACGGGTCCATTATCACAGGTCCACAGATCGTGGGCTCTGATACCATATCAAAATCACCTTGGGCTCCCATCTCAAAACCAATTGGTCCAATTAGTTATGAGTGGGTTGACCTTTGACACTTACAAACAGGTGACAGATCCTTCACAACAGCGATGTGGGATTCTTTGTCCCAACACAGTCCATTTCCTGAATCCTCAGTTTTATCTCCTGATCTCCTCAACGAGATAAAGTGAGAATTCGAGTATTGGTATCCCTTTGATTTACGGGTTTCAGGGAAGGAGCTGATTCAGAACTGATACAAGTTTAGGGTAAAGTCCCCATTGAAAAACTTGTGTTATTACTGAGAATTTATACAAATTACATGAGTATGTTTACAATAAAATACAACCGAGATTACAGTGAAAGTAAGATAAGTACAAATCAAAATAATAAATACAATATCAAACCTAATCTATATTTCTTAATTTAACACGCCCCTGCAGTCGGAGCAGGAGAATCTCGAATGTTCAGACTGGACCGAAAATCCAAAAATAGTGATGAAGGCAACCCTTTAGTGAAGATGTCTGCGAACTGATGAGAGGAGGGGACATGTAAAACACGAACATCACCTAAGGCAACCCGTTCACGGACAAAATGAATATTTATTTCAACATGTTTGGTACGGTGGTGCTGTACAGGATTAGAGGCACGATAAACAGAGCTAATATTATCACAATATACAATGGTAGCTTTAGGAAGGGGACAATGTAATTTTAAAAGAAGATTACGGAGCCATGAAGCCTCAGCAACAGCATTCGCAACCCCGCGATACTCTGCCTCGGCACTAGACCGAGAGACAACGTGTTGTCGTTTAGATGACCAAGAAATGAGGTTATCACCAAGAAAAATACAATACCCAGAAGTGGAACGACGCGTATCTGGACAACCTGCCCAATCGGCATCAGAGTAAGCAATAAGGTGATCTGTAGAGGAAGGACGAATGGTAAGACCTTTTGAAAGAGTTCCTTGGAGGTAGCGAAGAATTCGCTTGAGAGAATTAAAATGAGGTTTTCGGGGATCATGCATGAATAGGCAAATTTGTTGGACAACATATGCAATATCAGGACGAGTGATTATTAAATATTACAGTGGACCAACAAGACTACGATAAAGAGTAGGATCAGGGATAGTACCAGAAGAGGAGAGTTTAGCCTTAGTGTCAACAGGGGTGGCACATGGATTGCAGGAAGACATGTTTGCTCGAGCAATAATTTCACGAGCAAACTGCTCTTGAGAAAGAAAGTGGTCGGACGAGGACTGAGTAACAGAAATGCCTAAGAAAAGACTAAGTGGACCAAGATCAGTCATTGCAAATTCAGAAGAGAGAAGAGTGGTGACATGTGTAAGAAGAGACTGAGATGAGGCGGTTAAAATAATGTCATCGACATATAGGAGAAGGTATGCTATGTGGGACTCACGACGGAGGACAAAAAGAGATGTGTCAGCCTTACTACTAACAAAACCCAAAGAAGAGATGTAAGTTGCAAAACGATGATACCAAGCCCGTGGAGCCTGTTTGAGACCATAGAGAGCCTTTTTAAGATGGCATACATAATGGGGAAACAGAAGACTAGTGTAACCAGGTGGTTGTTTCATGTAAACTACCTCAGAAAGATGACCATGAAGAAATGCATTCTTGACATCCAATTGATGAATTGGCCAAGCACGCGACAATGAAAGGCTAAGAACAGTACGAATAGTGGCTGGTTTTACGACAGGACTAAAAGTCTCATCATAGTCTAGATCGAGTTGTTGAGTAAAACCTTGAGCTACAAGCCGAGCTTTGTATCGCTCAAGAGAGCCATCGGAACGAAACTTGTGTCTGTAGATCCATTTAGAGCTAACAAGATTGACATTAGAAGGACATGGAACAAGATCCCATGTACCATTGGCGTGCAAAGCAGCAAGCTCAGCATCCATAGCGGCCTTCCAATGAGGATCACGAAGTGCTTGTGAATAGGAGCGGGGAATAGGAGATGGGCTAGTAATAGCAGAGAAATTGAGAAGATGACGTGGGCGAAAAATACCATCTTTGGACCGCGTCAACATGGGATGAGAGGTGTGTACAGGAGAAAGTGGTGGGGAAGGTGGTTGAGGGGGTGTGGGTTGACTTAAAGATGGAGAAGAGGACAGCTGTATAGAAGATTGAGAAACACCGAGTGGAATTTCTTGGTGAATAAGAGGAGGAGGATCCTCATCAGAGAAGAGAAAATCATAATTTTCAGAAGTCGGTGTTTGATGAAAGGAAGAGTACGGGAAGACATTTTCATCAAAAATCACATGTCTAGAGATAATAATTTTGTTAGTAGTGAGATCGAGACAACGAAATCCACGATGATTAGAAGGGTAACCTAAGAAGATGCAAGCTGTGGACCTAGGTGCAAGTTTGTGAGAAGTGGTAGCAGAGAGGTTGGGGTAACACATGCACCCAAAGACTCGAAGATGGGAGTAAGAAGGAGAAATTTTGTAGAGCACTTCAAAAGGGGCACAATAAGAAAGTGTTGTTGTAGGTAAGAGATTGAGAAGGTGAACAGCCACGTGAAGAGCTTCAACCCAAAAAGAAGAGGGTAAAGTGGCTTGAAAAAGGAGAGTACGGACAATGTTATTGATAGTTCGAATTGTGCGTTCGGCCTTACCATTTTGTTGAGAAGTATAAGGGCAGGAAAAACAGAATTCAATTCCATTAGATTTGAAAAATTGATGAAAGGATTCGTTGTCAAATTCACGGCCATGATTACATTGAAAAGTTTTGATGGTAGAATTAAATTGATTGTGGACATAAGCTTTAAATGTAAGAAAGACATTAAAAATTTCAGATTTAGTGCGAAGAGGAAAAACCCAAAGAAAATGAGAAAAATCATCCAAGAAAGGTACATAATAGCGAAAACCATTCATACTACTGACCGGAGATGTCCACAAATCAGAATGAATAAGTTCAAAAAGACATGAGGCTTTTGATCCAGAAGGAGAAAATGACAAGCGAGTGTGTTTGCCTAGTTGACAGGCATGACACAAAGAGTTATTTTTACTTAGACAATCTATGAACTTTCGTGAAGATAAAAAATCAAAAACAGAACGTCCAGGATGGCCAAGACGCCGATGCCAAGTTTGTGGAGAAAGTGCTGCAAGAGACATTGATGAGGAATGCAGACTGACACTGGAAGGAGTAACGGGATAGAGGTCTCCATCACTGCCACTACGATGAATTATGGCACCGGTCCTAATGTCCTTCACAAAGAAACCGAAGGGGTCAAATTCAACAGTGCATAAATTATCTCTAGTAAATTTACGCACAGAAATTAAATTTTTAACTAAGTGAGGAGAGAATAAAATATCACGAAGAGAAAGAGGAATTTTAGAGTAAGGGAAAAAAGAATTTCCTAAAAAATGGACAGGAAGTACAGCACCGTTACCAACCATAATTGATTTAGATGTATCACAAGGTTTCAAAGAAATCATGTTACCGTTAGGTGATGACACAGTGGCAGTTGCACCAGAGTCCATGTGCCAATCATCATCACGAGGTTGTTGCACTGACATGGTTGCAAAAAGGCTTGCTAAATCAGTGGGCTGGTTCCCAACAGATGGATGAGAAGCGCCTGCAAAATGGGAGGATAGTCCATGCTGTTGAGGACCAATGAGGGGCTGAACCGAAGAGGGAGTCAATGGAGGCTGAGCATGAACTGGAGGAGTAGAAGTCCATGGAACCGAAGAACTAGGCGAGTAAGGAGCAGGACCGAGGAGGCTCGGGCTACTGAGTTGCTACTGAATATGAGGTTGTGCAGGAGGACTCCGTGGGGACTGCTGCACAAAATAATTCTGATGAGGGCGCCAGTAACTTCCTTGTGTAGGTGGCTGAGAACCAAATCTGGGAGAGAAAAAAGAATGCTGCAAAAGATTGTTAGGCCGAAAATTACGACCCGAATTGCTACCAGAATGAGCATTGGGTTGAGTACCACGACCTATGTTTTTGTTTTTAATTCTTCCCTCGACCTTTGTCGGTATCATTACGGGAAGAAGAGTGATGAGAATAAAGAGCAACTTGAGAATCAATAAGAGCAGGAGTAGGGGTGGTTTTGATTTCACGGGATTCATGCAAAAGAAGCATGTTTCGAGCCTGAGCAAAGGAAGGAAATGGAGTTTTATTGGTGATAAAATCAATGATGCTATTGTAAGAGTCAGGGAGATTGTTAAGAATTTGAAGAACAAGTTCTTGATCAGAGATGGGTGAATCAACATCTTTAAGATTATCAGCAAAACGTTTCATATTACGGCAAAAATTAGAAATACTCAAATCACCTTTAGAGTAGTTTCGAAATCTATCCTGCAAGTGAAGAGATCGGGACAATTTGTTGTTATGAAAAAAGGCTTCAAGATTATCCCAGATTTGTTTTGCAGTAAAGTTATCCCCACTAACACTATCTAAGAGGTTAGCATCAACAGAATTATAAATCCAAGTTTTGATTTTAGAATCAAGAGAATACCAATCTTCATCAGTATCCTCTTTGGGAGTTGATTTGCCAGTAATATGATCAAAGACACGATAACTACGACATACATCCGAGAAGATAGTGCGCCATAGTTTATACTTTGTATCTGCTTCACAAAGTTTAAAATTAAATAAGTGATAGACAGTGCTTACAGCATAAGCAAGGTGATGAACGAAAGAAGTACGTAGCAGAGTTGGAGGAAGGTTTGGGGTCACCCATAATGATTAAAAAATAATAATAATAAGAAAATAAAAACAAGAAACAAACAAAACGGCTGAATGGACTTACAAAACCAAGCACATGGAGGCGTGAAATCAATCAGCAAAGAAAAGAGGCAAGAAAGAAAAAAAAATCATGCGAGCAAAATTTTGAGGGGAGGTGGTGGAGGCTTAAAGATGCGGAAGAGTGATAGGATCAACACTAGCTGATACCATGATACAAGTTTAGGGTAAAGTCCCCATTGGAAAACTTGTGTTATTACTGAGAATTTATACAAATTACATGAGTATGTTTATAATAAAATACAACCGAGATTACAGTGAAAGTAAGATAAGTACAAAGCAAAATAATAAATACAATATCAAACCTAATCTATATTTCTTAATTTAACAAGAACCATCTTACCTTTTGCATCTACAACCACACGGCCATCTTTCCCAATCAAAAAACCATTGGCCACGGGGATTCAGGTGCAATGGCCATATCATGTTGAATGCCGAGAAGATGTCCAAGTCTGCGGGGAATTTCAGGACCCTTCGCGAAGCGATTCAGGAGTTCTCGGCTGATGCCACGAGATTTGCACTAGCTGACGCGGGTGATGGCCTGGATGATGCGAACTTTGTGTTTGAAACTGCCAATTCCGCAATCTTACGGCTGACTAAGGAGACAGCTTGGATAAAAGAGTTTTTTTCCCCTGAGGCATTTTTGAGAAGTGGGGAGCCTTCTACTTTTGCTGATCTTGTGTTTGATAACGAGATTAATATGGCCGTGACGAAGACAGAGAAGAATTATTACGGATATGTTCTGTGAAGCTCTGAAAACCGGCTTTTGTGATTTTCAGGCCGTCAGGGATGAATACAGGCTCTCTTGCGACCCCGGAGGCATGAATCGGGAACTTGTATCGCGGTTTATTGATGTTCAAACACGCCTGATCGCTCCAATCTGTCCTCATTATTCTGAATATATTTGGAGGAAGCTTATGAAGAAAGAAGGATTTGCAATAAAAGCAGGATGGCCTGAAGCTGCTAAACCAGATCCCGCTCTTAAGCAGGAAATTTGTATTTGCAAAACTCGATTGCCTCGATGAGGAAGCTTTTGCAGAAGCAGGTCTCTGGAACGAAAAAGGGCAACGCCAACAGATCAAACAGTCTGGACAAACCAAAAGTTGTTGGCCTGATATTTATAAAGGAGCATTATGATGGATGGAAAAAGGAGTGTTTAATCATTCCACAGAAATTTAACAGTGAAAGCCGCGAATTTGCCCCGGATGATAAGATACGCGCTGCTGTTGGACCGGATCGGCTGCAACTCTGCATGCCTTTTCTGAGGTTAAAGAAGGATGAAGCTTTGGCGGTTGGCGAACAAGCATTGCACTTCAGGCTGCCGTTCAATGAGATTGAGGTTCTTGAGAAAAATTCAGATTTGATTGCACGGCAATTAGATCTGAAACAAGGTGAGATCTTTTCTGCAGACGATCCTGTGGGTGTCGAAAGGGCTGGCGATCATGCTTCACGTCTGAAGGAGAAAATCCACCCTCTCCGGGGAATCCAACTGCAATATTTCAGTTCTGAAAAGTCAGCAGAAGGATGTAATGATCTTGGCTTTTACAGTGGGGGAGGAACATAATGAGTTGATTTCTTAGAGATGTGTGTAGTCATTTGTAGATAGACTGTGTGCGTAAATTTCTCTCTGAATATTTGATTTACAGAGTGCAGTCAATCGTGTTTGTTGTGATTGGTTTTATGTGGTCATTAGTTTGAATCTGAATTACTTTGATGCAGTGGGAATATGCAATTTGCTTAACATTAAAAAAAATAACTTCGGAAAAAAAACTTCTTAAAAAATTATATAGCTTGATGTCCACTCTGAACGTACAATAATAATGGTATAATGAAATTCTAATCTTGATTAAAAATGACTGAAATTCTTCCACTCAACTGTCCTTTTAGCTGATTAATTTTTTTTTTCCTCCTCTTTTTCATTTTCCAACAATTAGATATAAATTTTTTCCGGAACTGTATATAGTGTAGGGGTGAATGGAAGGGAAGTTGAAGGTATGTTTTAGATCTTTCCACGTATCACACATTAAAAGGTCTTTCTTCCTCTCACTAGTCCAATTCTTTTTGTTCCATACGTAGCGGCTGCAGGCAACAAATCAAAAAAGTTCTTCCCCTCTGATTCTTCCAATTAGGTGGACAAGTGGAAGAATTAATCCATCAAACGGGTTAATTAGGCTTTTTGAGTCTTATTATTGTCATGTGAGTTAAAATAATTTAGAGCAAAGGTTGTGACAATTGGTTTAATCCGAATTTTTCGAAGTATTATTATGTGTTGTACTACTAGATGATTGACCTCCTTTCTCAGTTTTGAAAGACAAATACTCTCTCTTCTGTCTCGCAATAATAATTTCATTGATCGTATTAAAATAATATAGTAAAAAAGTAATAACTATTATTTAGACAAATGGAATATCAATTTTAGTTCGGTCGTTGCTTTCTCCTTTTTCCCCTTCTTATTGCTTGCTAGGTTGATTTTTTCTTTTTCCATGAATTATTTTCCCTTAAGGAAAAGCCCTTTACAAATGTGCGTTTTTTTTTTTTTTAATTAGAAAAAATCTCTCATTTTGGAAGTGGCCCGTGACATGATCTGATTAGTAAGTGAGCAACGGTAACACAGTACGTTATAGATGATGGTGCGTTCCAACTACTAAGCTATGAATCAAACCTCATTAATAAGAGTTGAAAACACATCCCAAAAATCACATATCAATGAACTTTATTTGCGTTTTGTATAAATAACTACAATATAGAATGATGTCCACTCTGAATTTACAACAATGATTAAATTCTAATTTTGATTAAAAATATATTCACCTCTTTCACAAAACAAAAATTATTTTAACAGATTAAATTATTTCCGAGTGCAGAATATCGTATATATTTATGTATATAATATTTCATAACAGTCTATATCACCAGGACGCCACAGTACTTGCAAATTTTCACAACAACATTATTTGTTAATTAGGTCATTGATTTACTCAACATGAACACACACGGTTAACAAAACAGAAAAATCTCACAATCAAACTTCCAAATTCAATTCTACGTTAGGCAGCTATAGGAAGGGATTAAACAATCAATGTTAATAATATGGAAAAAAGAATTATTGACAAGAGGAAGGAAGGAAGCAGGACCCGATGATGAGACCAACAGAACATGTGGAAAGTCTTGAACCTAATATCAGTACAAAAAGAACAGGTTGGTCCAGTACGTACGCGTCGCCCTTCCCACAAGACGCCGTCATGTGCATCCCATCATTTGCTTTTGTCCGTTTTCCGCCGGTTTCCCATTCCTAGTCGGCATTTGAACGTGCACTTTGAGCCCAAATTTTATTGGTCAAAATTTTGCAGCAAACCCAATATTAGCCTATAAATACCTCTCATTTCACACAACCTTAAACTCACAAAAACACCACAAAATATTTCATTTTGCTCACTCTTTCCATTGCAATAGTTGCCACTTTTTTCTTCATCATTTCTATTTGTGAAAAAGTTGAAAATGGCTCGGGCTAGTTTTATCAAGTCATTCTTGGTTGCCGTTGTCGTAGCAATATTTGCTACGGCTTCAGCTCAGGATGCACCCGCCCCGGCTCCCGATGCAGGCGCCGCATTCAGCCTGCCGGTGGCTTCCGCCTTGGTTGGAGCTTCCGTGGTACTCTCCATTTCAGCTCTATTGAGGCACTGATGAGTTACATTCTCCTCCGCGGTTTTTTTCGGCTATGAATCATTTGTATGGAGAATTAAGAGCTTATATTGGCACTTAAAGAGATTTGTTTTTAATTTTTTTAAAATGTATTTTTGTCTTCTTGGGTATGACTATGATGTGTTTCTTCTAGTCTTCTTCTTAAAGTCTTTTTTGGTGATGAAATAAATGGCACTTTTACTTCAATCATGTATTGTGTAAATTTTTTCAGTTAATTACTATTAATTTTATTTGATGATTTGGATTATAGGTTTTGTCGGCTATGTTCTCCAGAAATTTTACTCATTTACATTGAATCTTTCTCCGTATCATTGTAATATGCAGAGGAACTCAAGAACTTTCCGATTTAATTTGTTTGCAGAAAACGTCAAAACATGTCACAATTATATCTCAAAATTTAGATACTCTTATCATAGTGTCACTCTCGAATTGATAGATAATTTCTAATATCTCAAAACCGCAATAATTAATGCTCACATGTAACAAGACAATACATTACCATTTGTCTATCCATGTATCCGTGTTGGATCCTTTTAATAACTCGAGAATATTGTCGCAACTCGAATAAAGTCATACAAACACATTTCTTGTTTATAAAATTTTTGGTCGATTATTTGGAAAGATATAGTAAAACTTTTCAGATGGCCGACGGAATAATTATAAATTGTGCATTTTGAAAAGTCCGTATCCTTTTTAAACTTTTGATGAACGGGAAAAAAAAAAGAAAAAAAAGAGAAGTGATATAAAAAGAAGGGATATAACTCATTTGATTTTCACATTTACCCAACTACTCAACTTAGATTTTCATTCACATTGAGGATTTATTGTGATTTTTTTTCCATTTTTTTGCAGGACCACCTTAATAAATGTTATAATAATTATTTTAGAAAAATTCTGTATTGCGGTCGACTTAATGCTACACACTCAAATATTTGTCAAGTATACAATAATTGCAATATGGAGGGAAACTATATTCTAAAACTTCGGACCATTAACGCCACTATAGACTTCTTCTTAATTTTAAAACATGAGCCAACTACGATTATGGGAAAAAAGAAAAACAAAAATGGAAGCGTTAATTGCCGTTCGGAAAAATAAAGAATGAACAAATTAAACATCAACAGGCCAAAAAAGATGATCAATATTGCTGTTAATTAATTTACTCGAGGAATGGGACTAATACATATCAATGATCTGAAATTGGATTTTATTCCTACTGATTGATGAAGGGAATTGTCAACTATCGAAACCGGCTCTCCCACTTGGGACAGCTCGATTGCAATAGCCAATAGGTAGGTTTTAGCTGCTGATCAGCTTTACAAGTTTAATTACCTGAACTCTAGGCCAATTAAATGCAAACTTAAAGGATAGTTTTGTTGTTCATCGTACGATGAATAGGAGAATAATTTTGGGACGAGAAGAGGAAAAAAAAAAATGTTAAGAAACAATATATTCAACTGCTTGTGTTCAAAACACGTGTACCGATCAGCATATATTTGCTAGTATAATTTATTTTATCTGTGATTAAACTCGGAAGCACAAAATGAGAAGAAAAACAGAATTTAATTCAAATAAAATGATACAGATAGACACCTAATTTTCTTGGGATTCTTGAGAGTGGCCAAACGTTAGAAACCCATAATTATTAGGGTTCTCTTCAACTTGCTAATTTAAGTTAAAAAGGAAAAAATAGTAAAAGAAACAGAAGAAGAAAAAAGAAATGCTATTTCCATATGAACACAACTGTGTACAGAAGTTGCAAACTACAAAAGCATCCCAATAGAGGAGTAGTACTTACAAAGTTTCATCATGAAAAGAACTATTACTAAATTCATGAAAGTACCACTTTTTTTTTATAAAGCTTAAAATGAAGTACAAAAGATCAACAATAAGCATATTCCTTGTTGTTTAAGATTTTTATTTATGCAATGAATGTGGAGTCCCATTACACAATTCATGTTCGTGCCAACCATTTCTCTACCAAATCTTTCTTCGTAAAGTAATACTTTTTGTTTGGACAAAAATCTGTTCTAAGCTGGCTCTCAATAATCACACCATTTGTCAAGAAAACAGCTGTTTTTTCAACTGCTTAATCCATACTTAATGCGCAGTTTGCCAAATGATGCACACTACTAAATTTTGTCTTCTTTTTTTTTTTCAATTATAAGTCCCATCAAGAAAACTCAATACTTATCAACTCAAATGGTGAAGATTTTTAGTTCAGAAGTCTCGAGTTCAAGTCAAGTGAACATAAATAACAATGTTAGGAGACTAGTTCATATCCCGGCAGAGATAATTTTGAGGGTTAAATGGTGGAATTAAACTCAATTTGTATGTCATATTGTGCTTATTGAAAATGAGGTCCGGTCGTAAAGCGCAAAAGAACCAACACTTATTAATTTAAAAGGTATGGACTATGGACTTATGGAGTAATTAAAGTCTATTCAGCTAAAGGTCTAGATCGGATTTAAGTCGTGTCAACGTTAGAAGACTCGGAATCTTAATTACCTCTAAAAAATGTCATTTCCTGGGTGGAATGAAATAAAAATTAGTTTCATTGTCATATATATTGTACTCATTGAAAGAAAAGAAAAAAAAAATTCAAAAAACCCAGGAAGTCCCAATTACAACAGTCAACATGCAAAAACCAATAATTTTTAGTTTATGGAGTTTGGTTTTTAAAGCAAAAGTCTGTCAGGAATATTCTATCTCAGAGATGATCATTTTCAGGGTTGTATGAAAATATTTTTAACGTAATATTGTGGTCACACCACTGAAAATAAGTCTCAATTTCACGATATGCGGACACTCAACACTTGTTAATTTAAGCAGAAGGAAGTTTGATCTAATATGTGAGCTGAA